AAATTTCCCTGGAACGTGCAATATTTCTCATTCATCCTGGTTTCTAAAAAACCCTCACATAAGTGCTCAGGGTCTCTGCTTAATATTTGAACAACCTGAGAGCCAGAATGGAACACTAAGGTCCAATGACTGTGAAGAAAACTGCATGTCAGTGCTTACTATTAAAAAGAAGCAACCTGACACAACCAAGCTTCTGCAGATTCCACGTTTTCTTTTATTCTATAACACTGACCCTTGAAAAGCTACTGATGCTTCGGATTCAGGTTATGTACAAACTCAAAGACCAACAGAGGTGTACTGATTAGAGAAAACGGACCCAAGTCCAATATCAATACTCAAAAAAATTATACTGAGTGCACAGAAGTCTTTAACTTAAGTAATTTCTACTGTATTATTCTTTTTACCAATTATTATGATACTTAATTAGGTCCACATACATCCATAATGACTACTACAGCAAATCATTAGAGCGCTATGATTATGACGCAGGGTAATACTTACCTGATCTTAGCTTTGTATTTGTTAATATTTCTGTTGGAATTTACACTGACATTTTCTTACAGCCTTTATGGCTCAACAGAAAAGAACATAAAAAATACTCAAGAAAAAGAAAAGTATAAACAAATACAACTTAATGGTATAATTATTAAAAGTTAAATTTAAAACATTAACACTCCATTATTATAAGCCAAAGATTTTTTTAAATCGTAAATCCAAATGGACACCCGGAATGGAAATACTGAGAATGGTCGCCAACAATGGAGACTGTCACCAGTGCACCGAGCAACTTGTGTAGAAATTGTTGAATGGGAACCTGAACTGCTGTGTAACCTTCACTGAAAAGGCAAAATATTACTGTAAAAAAATAAATATAAATCATAAATCTCAATACTTGCAAGATTTCAGTAAAACTCAAATACTTGTACCTTCACCTATGACCAAAACACATTACTCATAATGGGGAGAAAAGTGAATTACAAATTGCGAAGACTGGTTAGAAGCATGTAAAGCTATACCTGCACGTGATAAAAGCTGGAAGAGAAACAGAAAGCATATAGAAGTGGGAGAGGTACAAGGGTGCAATACCTAAGAAAGGAAAATTGAGCAATTTTATCATTCCAGCATTATAAAAACATACAGAAAAAATGAACAATATGCATCACCCGGATTCAACAATTGTTAACATTTTGCCCAATCTAATTTATCTGTATCTGTCTATATATAAAAACAAACGAAAACCCACTGCCATTGCATCGATTCCGACTCACAGCGACCCTATAGGACAGAGTAGAACTGCCCCACCGGGTTTCCAAGGAGCAGATGGTGGATTTGATCTGCCCGCCTTTTTGGTTAGCAGGCGTAGCACTTATATACAAGCGCATTTAGAAGTTTTATTTATTAATTTGCATACAGTAAATTACTTTATTTTGGGTGTACATTTCTGTGAATTTTGACAAATGTACCATCACGTAACCACCATCAGGATACAGACTAGTCCCCTCATCCCAAAAACTTCCCATGTCCTGTGTAGTCAAAGCCCACTCCGACTCCTAGTCTCAAGCAATAAACTCGTCTACGCTCCTCTCCCACACGTCTGCCTTTCCCAGAATGGCATGTCAACGGGCCACACAGTATGTCATCTTTTGAACCTGGTTCCCTTCACTTAGCATAATGTGTTGAAGATGAACCTGTGTTGTTGTGTGTGTTATTAAGGATCAGATTTTAAATGAAAAAAGATTATCAGTTTAGAAAACTAAAAAATTACTAGGCAGATTTTTCGGACTATTCTTTCGGATCAGGTACTCAAGGGGTAAATCAGAAGTCAATTAAACGTAATTTTTTTAACATATTTCAAATATGTTATCAATAAAAAAACAAGAACAATCTTTTATATTATCTTTAATCTAAAGGGCAACAAAACTGTACTTTTAGGATGATGCCACCTGAGGCAGGAAATTATTTAATTGAATTATTCATTATACTAAGTTTCTGCTCTCTGACTATAAAACAATGAGACAGATTCCCCCACTTAGAGACGTAAGTTACCACACGGCATGGT